GATTACCCAGAACCTTTATCAAGAGCTGAATTTGAGATAATGAGATAATTCATCTGCGTAAACAAAAAAATTATTCCAAGTATTATGAAAATCCTCCTGAAGAATATTTTCACGAGAGATATAATGCTAAAACCTTTGCCAGTATCCATTATGATTACCGCACATCTAATGGGTATAAAGGACCAAGGATGAGTCGAGGAAACTCTAGGTTCATGTGGATTCCAAAGCTGACGTCTAACCCTCAAGGACCCGAAACTCAAGGGGTACCTAAAAGTATATAATCTTTCTTGCAGGATAAACAAGTCATATGGTATGTTGATAGTGATTGCTCAAGACATATGACTGGTGACCAAACAATGTTGAGCAATTTCAAGGAAGTAGATGGACCTAAAGTCATCTTCGGAGGTGAAACTAGTGGCAAAACTCGTGGAACAGTTGATATCATCAAAAGAGGAATAACCATCAAAGATGTATCATATGTTGAAGGGATAAAATTCAATCTTCTAAGCAGAAGTCAATTTTGTGACAAAGGCTACAAAGTCGAATTCTCAAAGGACAAATGCAAAATAGTTAACACGAGAGATGGCGAGATAGCAGTAACTGGCCAACGGAAGAAAAATATGTACGTAATTTTGTGGAATTCTTCTAACACTAACGTTTGTTTTGTGGCTAAGAGTAATGCAGATCTAAGTCAGGAATGGCACAATAAATTGAGTCATTTAAATTTGAAGACAATCAATAAGCCAGCCAAGAAAGATCTCGTGAAAGGATTACCTAAAGCATCCTACATGAAAGACAAGATCTGTGAAGCATGTCAAAAAGGAAAACAAATCAAATCATATTTCAAAATCCAAGGATGTGGATGCAAACTCTCGATCTTTAAGTCTTCTACATATGGATCTTTTTGGACCAGTTGACCCAGCAAGTTTGAGTGGGAGAAAGTATACTCTCGTCGTAGTGGTTGATCACACGAGATATACTTGGGTGCTCTTTTTGAAGAAAAAGAATGAAACAGAAATCGTTCTTCCAAATCTCTTGAGACAACTACAAACCGAAAAAGATTTCAAAATCATTCGAATAAGATCAGATCAAGGAACTGAATTCGTCAACAAGGTCATAAAAGATTTCTGTGCACAAAATGGAATTTTTCATCAACTGTCGGCAGCGCGAACTCCACAACAAAATGGAGTAGCCGAAAGAAGGAACAGAACCCTTAAAGAAGCTGCACGAACAATGGTTGCTCACTCAGGATTACCAAAGCGGATTTGGGCCGAAGCTATAAATACAACTTGCTATACGCAAAACCGATCCCTGATCAACAAGTTCCACAATCAAACTCCATACGAGCTATGGAAAGGTAAAGTGCCTAGTGTAGGTTATTTTCATACTTTTGGATGTAGGTGCTTTATTCACAACAATGGAAATAATCATCTGAGAGTCTTCGACGAAAGAGCGGACGAAGGATTATTCATGGGTTACTCCTCAGTAAGTAAGGCCTTTAGAGTCTTAAACAAACGAACAATGGTTATCGAGGAATCCATACATGTCAAGTTGGATGAACAATCTGAGAAAAATCCAGTTGGTGTTGAATAATCCGTCAATCCGAATCAACGTTCTCAAGAACTCAATGAAGAAGAAGTCTCAGACGACGAAGACATCTTAACCTCCTACACGAAATATCAGTTGAAGATCACTGAACCCGAAGCTACAGCTCAAGATAACAATGGAGCACAACTGAATATTCTGGATACTCAAGCACCATCTAAACCTATGATGTAACACCCCGAAATTTTTAAACTTTTGAAACTTATATAATTAAGGTAAGTTCTCATTAAATCCCAAAACATAATATAAATAGTACAGGGTACTATGCCACACCTGAGTTAGAGAACTCAGGTGCACATGCTAACTAACTAATATCCTCAACAAAGTAAAAGCATAAGCATGGAACGCAGGCCAAAAGGGAAAACTGTCTACTTCTACGTTCCACGATTCTAGCGCGCTCCAGTGTCTACTCTTCTATGCCGGAAAGCCAAATATATCTGTTCAGCGAGAGATGCTGGTAACCCACTCCAACGCGTTGAAATACAATACATATAGATATATACATAGATATACGAAAACCATTTCGAAGCATGAAGATATATCCTAAGAGACTCTAGCTTTCAAAACAGGGAATAGACTCGAAAGATAGGGATAAGCACAACCAACAGTCATAACCAAGCATGCACAATTCACAGGTGTAGGGAACAGACACGACAGATAGAGATAGACACAGCCAATAGTCATAATCAAGCATATACAGTTACTAGCATGTATCCTATGGTCACGCTTTCATAACAATCCAATCATCCATATCTCATCACATAGCACACTTTGTTGGCGCCACAGGACCAATCGCATGCCCATACATGAGGGTCAGCGCATATAGCTCTGACACGGCCCCGCAGCACCCTGTCCCGTATCGCAACACGGAGGGGTCGATCGCAACCGACCGATGAACCGCAGCTCATCATAGTTTGATCGCAAACAAACAGTGGACCGCAGCCCAAGAGTAGTCATCTGACCGCAGCCAGGAAATATGAACCGCAGCTCATGTAAAACGTTTGATCGCAACCAAACGGTGGACTGCAGCCCAAGAGTGTAAATCTGACCGCAACCAGCTTCTGAACCGCAGCTCAGGATTAACCAATTCGATCGCAACCGACTTGGGGTATCATGCACACATAACACGTAGCAAACACATGCAACCCACATTGGCACATTAGGGAGGGGACGAAATCGTATAACGAAACCTATGCATGATCATTCACATACTAAGAACAATCCTAAGGGGTTCATACTTCTTATGCTTAGGTCAACGGGATACCAATTCAACTAGCATGCGATATATAAGACTTATTCAACCTACGAATGGTACCCGAACATCAAACTAGATATAGGCACGATAGACGGAGTCCGTTGGGACACCACGGGGGTCGGGGGACATTAGACGGGGAAGCCGAAATCCCAACGGGGGTAAAATCTAGCGGGTAGCCGGTGGGTGAGGGGTCACCCGCCGGCTGTCTGCCGGCGTCGTGGTTCCGGGCAGCTGCCCGCCCACCGGCTGCCTGCTGCCGGCGACATTAATATTGGCCGCGGGTAGGTGGCGGGTCCCCTACCCCCACCTACCCCCCACTGACTCTTTTCATCACAGAAAACGCCCCGGGAACCATTGTGGAACCCGAAATCATGCTTAGACACTTTCAAACGCAATTGACAAGAACACGTAGACAATTAACGGATCCAAAAGCAAGAACATACGGCACATAACCTATCATGCTTTTCTAAATATAATCAACACCCAAACATGAGAATTCCCACCCAATACACCAAGAATAGTACCACACGAGTTTCATGATACAACCTAGGGTTCTACTTACTTTTAAATCAACAAGGGCACAATTCATCTTCTAATATCAAGATTCGGTAGGAATACCACATAAACATCAAGAAAATTATACAATTACCAAGAACATCATATAATCATCAAGAACACCATATAATCCTCAAGAACCTCTTTTCATCATCAAGATCATCAAGATTACCCATGGAATCATAACGCCAATTGTCATGATCAATATAACGAATCATCAACACACAAGAATATGGGGGAAGCCTAAGAGGGGAATCATAGCTATGAAAATAGGTTTTGTTGAGACATGGGTTACCTCTTAGCCTTAATTAATTCCTTGGCTATGAAGGGTCTTTCCTTAAGCTTTCTTATTTCTTGATTTCTCCTAAGGGAATTCTTGGAACTTCTTGTGTGGTGAGAGATTATTGTGGTGGGGGTTCTAGGTGCCTCCTTATGTCCCTTATTTATATATCTAAGAGTCCTAATTAGGGCCCAAATACTATAGGCTTGCTAACTCTACTCCTTTTAGGACTAGGGGTTGGATTTAGAGATGAGGGCCCACGGACTATGGTGGGCCTTTTCCAAATTAATTATTGTAATTTAATTCTTTCTTTGGATAATTGGTTAAATGATTAATTGGTTTTAGGGGTCGTAACACGGGGTGTTACATATGATCTATGATCAACTACCAGACATCCCTGAAATGAATGTATAAAATCAGGAAAACGCACTTGAACCCGATCTTAGATGGTTAAGAGATCACCCTCCTGATCAAGTAATTGGAAACATTCAAGGAGTAAGAAAAAGAGCATCTTTGCATGAAAATATGATGGCTTGTTTCCTATCACAATTGGAACCAAAATCCATAGAAGAAGCTTTAAATGATCCTGACTGGGTAATAGCCATGCAAGAAGAGCTTCATCAATTTGAACGAAATGATGTTCGGGAACTTGTCATGAGACCATCACATCAAAATGTTATTGGAACCAAATGGGTCTTTAGAAACAAAATGAGTGAAGATGGGCTCATTGTTAGGAACAAAGCTCGTCTTGTTGCTAAAGGATACTGTCAAGAAGAAGGAATTGATTTTGATGAAACCTTCGCCCCCGTAGCACGACTTGAAGCTATACGAATATTTTTTGCATATGCAGCATACAAAAACTTCAAAGTTTATCAAATAGATGTCAAAAGTGCTTTCCTAAACGGACTTCTTGAAGAAGAAGTATATGTTGAGCAACGCCTGGATTTGCGGTTGACTGTGGACAAGAAAAAGTCTACCATCTCAAAAAGGCACTATATAGATTAAAGCAAGCTCCACGAGCTTGGTATGATACACTCTCACATTTTCTTATCAACTGTGGTTTCATGAAAGGAGCCGTAGACAAGACACTCTTTCGTATCAATGTTAATGATCATATTCTCCTAGTACAAATCTATGTTGATGATATCATTTTCGGGATAACTAAACTACTTTCTGGGATTGCAAGTAAAACAATGCTCGGATGGAATTTTTATCTGTCAAGCCAAATACACTAAGGATCTAATCCGAAAGTTTGGCATTGATGGAAAAACATCCGTCAAAATCCCTATGAGCACATCTCTTAGAATGGATATTGATAATGAAGGAAAAGATGTGGATCAAAAGAATTTTCGTGGGATTATCGGATCACTTCTATACCTAACAGCAAGCAGACCTGACATTTCGTTTGCTGTTGGGGTATGTGCTAGATTTCAAGCTAAACCAAAAGAAAGTCATTTAAGTGCAACCAAAAAGATCTGGAGATATCTTAAGGGGACACAAAGCGTTGGGCTTTGGTACCCGAAAGAAGGATCTTTCTATCTAGTTGGCTATTTGGATGCCGACTTTGCTGGATGCCGAATAGATCGAAAAAGTACCTCAGGAACCTGCCAGTTCCTAGGGGGAAGACTTGTGTCTTGGTTTAGTAAAAAGCAACACTCCATTGCTACCAGCATGGCTGAAGCCGAATACATAGCAGCTGGAAGTTGCTGTGCCCAAATTATGCGGATGACTCATCAATTGAAGGATTATGGCATAAATGCACGAGAAGTGAGCATCAAATGTGATAACACGAGTGCAATTGCCATCACACATAATCCTATTTTACATTCACGAACCAAGCATATTGATATTAAATATCATTTCATTCGTGATCATGTTGAGAGAAAAGATATCTCTTGAATATGTCAATACTGATGATCAGCTTGCGGATATTCTCACAAAACCATTAAGTGAAGCAAGATTCTCTACTCTAAGACACGAAATCGGGTTGATTGAGATGACATAAAATGCGGGAATCAAATCTGCAAAGATTTTCACGATATTCTTATAGAATCTTCTCGATATACTCATCATAAAGATTTGGTTCACTCTCTCACACAAGATCTCTATAAAAAGGAAGATCATTCTGTCACCAAATCCAAACTAACCCGTCTTTTGAGTAAGTAATCTAGATTTTGTCTTTGATTGTGCAGGAATGAGTACAGGAAGTGAAGTAAAAACAACAATCACCGAAAAGAGAAAAAAAGAGACTGAAATCCTTCATGATCCTCTAATTAATGAAGGGGCACTAAACAAATTTCTAGCAAGTTCACAACATTTACAAAATCTTCTTTGTGAACCAACGGAGCAAGAATCACGTGAATCATTTCACTCAGTTGGCAACACCATAGGATATGCAAAGGAGGATAGTGTGCTGGAAAGAAGCGATAGCTATGATTATTCACCATCAAGCACTCCTCCAAAATTTCCCTCACCACTCAAGTCCACAGCTAGCAGCAAGAAGAAAGGGCCCTAAAAACTATTTTGGGTCACAATGATAAGATGTGGTTCTATTCACTATGAGCAAATTTTATATCTCCATGGATTAATTTATTTTCTTGAGTGAATATGAAAAAGGCTGTCACGAAACTTCTGATTACGTCTTTAACACGGAATCTAGTATTGTCATCTTCAATCTTTTAAACAGATCTGCACGCAACCTTTTCACCTATAAATTGGAACCTCCTTCCATGAACTCAACTCAAACACTAAGTTCTTGTTTAGTAAGTAAATTTTTGCAGGTATGAATGAGGGCAAAGGAAAAATGGACGAGGCCGAAAAATGAGCTATTCGGTGTAATCGTCATCTTCAGGAAGCAAGCAAACTAACTAGTGCTACAATCATGAAACTGGTGGAAGATGGTGATAGGGTCCACGTAACATTTTCCATGCCAAACTCGGCTAACCCGAAAGAAAGAGAAATTCTGGACAATACTGTCAATGAATCTCAGGCCAAGAAAGCTATATGTCTGGACCAGGCAAAACTATTGGCAAACGAAAGGATGATGATGTTGAACAATGCCAACAAGCACCCATATCATCAACCCTCCTCTCGTTGGTATCCAGTCACTGAAGTCCCACAACGGAGTGAGCAATCTTATGAAGATTTTACTCTAGTTCACTCTCAGTCACCAACTAACCCAACTATGCCCACCCTGTAACACCCCGTGTTACGGCCCCTAAAACCATTTAATTAATTAATCAATAGCCCAAGAGAAAGAATAAATCATAATGATTAATTAGGGAAAAAGGCCCACCATAGTCCATGGGCCCTCATATATAAACCCAACCCCTAAACCCAATCCTTAGTTCTAAAAGGAATAGAATTAGCGAGCCTATAATATTAGTTCCTAATTAGGACTCCTAAATATATAAATAGGGGACTTAGGAGGCACCTAGAACTTCCCACAAAAATAACACCCCACCACCCCAAAAGAGCTCCAAGAATCCCCTTAGGAGAAATCAAGAAAGCAAGGAAGCTTAAAGAAAGATCCTTCATAGCCAAGGAATTAATTAAGGCTAAGAGGTAACCCATGTCTCAACAAAACCTATTTTCATAGTTATAATTCCCCCTTAGGGTTTCCCCATATTATTGTATATTGGCGAGTTATGATGACTATTATTGGTAATTGATGTGATGATCCCATGGGGGATCTTGATGATCTTGATATTGGGAGATTCTTGATAACTATGGTGTTCTTGATAATTATATGGAGTTCTTGATGATTATGTGTCGTTCTTGATAATTGTGTGATGCTCTTGATGTTTATGTGTTATTCTTACCGAATCTTGCAATTAGAAGACGAACCGTATTCTTGTTGATATAAAAGTGATTAGAACCCTAGGTTGTATCGTATGATCTTATTCTTGGATTATCGGGTGGGGAAATCGCATGTTTGGGTGTTGATTATATTTAGAAAAGCATGATAGGTTATGTGCCGTTCGTTTCTTGTATTTGATTCGTTAATTGTCTACGTGTTGTCGTTAATTGCGTTGTAAAGTGTCTAAGCATGGTTTCGGGTTCCACAACGGTTCCCGGGGCGTAAAGTGTGTGAAAAGAGTCAGTGGGGGTAGGGGACCCGCCACCTACCCACGGCCGTGAAGCACCGCCCGGCAGCGGGTGGCCGGCGGGCGGGCAGCTGCCCGCCGGCGATCCGCTACCCGGAACAGTATTCTCCGGAGGGCAGCCGGCGGGTGGCCCCCACCCGGCTACCCGCTGGAAATTCATCCCACCCGGGATCCCGGCTTCCCCGTTTGATGTTCCCCGTTCCCTGTGGTGTCCCAACGGACTCCGTTTATCGTGCCTATGTCTAGTTTGATGTTTCGGGTACCGTTCGTAGGTTTATGAATCTATTATATTGCATTCTAGTTGAATTGGTATCCCGTTGACCTAGGTGGAAGAAGTATGAACCCCTTAGGACCATTCTTAGTAAGTGATGGATCACGCATAGGTTTTGTTATACGTTTTCTCCCCCTTCCTAATTTGTAATGTGGGTTGCATGTGCTTGCTATGTGTTATGTGTGTCTTACCCCAATTCGGTTGCGATCGGATTGGTTATCCTAAGCTGCGGTTCAGAAGCTGGCTGTGGTCAGATTGATACTCTTGGGCTGCGGTCCACCGTTTGGTTGCGATCAAACGTTTCTATACGAGCTGCGGTTCGTCCTTTATCCTGGCTGCGGTCAGATGACATTCTCTTGGGCTGCGGTCCACTGTTTGGTTGCGATCAAACACTATGATGAGCTGCGGTTCATCGGTCGGTTGCGATCGACCCCTCCGTGTTGCGATACGGGGCAGGGTGCTGCGGGGCCGTGTCAGAGCTATATGCGCTGACCCTCATGTATGGGCATGCGATTGGTCCTGTGGCGCCAACAAAGTGTGTTATGTGTTGTGACATGGACGAGTTGTGATTACGAGTGTCTTGGGGGATGTGACTATGGGATTTATATTGGGGATTGTTCATGTTGGGTTATGATCATTGTTTATGCTTTGCCTTATCTGCCTTATCTGTTGTGAACTGCATATGCTCGTTATAACTGTTCTTGTGTCTGGCCTTATCTGTCGAGTCACTCCCGGTTTTAAAGCTAGTGTTCGTAGGGTATATCTTCATGCTCAAAATGGTTTTCGTATATCTATATATATCTCTATATGTATTGTATTTCAACGCGTTGGAGTGGGTTACCAGCATCTCTCGCTGAACAGATATATTTGGCTTTCAGGCACAGAGGACTAGAGCACTGGAGCGCGCTAGAACTGGAGCGTAGAAGTAGAGTAGTTTCCCTTTCGGCCTGCGTGCCATATTATGCATTGTGTTTCAATGGATATTAGTTAGACAGCCTGTGCACCTGGGTTCTCTAGCACAGGTGTGGCATAGCACCCCGTACACTTATGATATACTTTGGGATGTAATGAGATATTACCTTTATTATATAAGCTTAAAATGTCTTGAAAATCTGGGGTGTTACAGTTGGTATCAGAGCCTAAGTTTGACCCTAGGAAGAGACTCTTAAGACCGGACTTTAGGACGTTAGGCTTGAACTCTAGGTACCTAGGAACATAGGACTCAGGAATCTTAGGACGCGCGGTGAGATTGTGAAACCTACACATAACTTCTCTACACGTTACCCTTCCCCACTCATCACTTCACAAGAAGTGCATCAGACTCTAACTTAACATTCTTATAAACACTGACCAGAAAGACGATAGCATGGCGCCAAACAGAAGGCAATCCAGAACTCCAGAGCCCGCCACCGACGACCCCTTGACCCAAACCCTGCAGCAACTAACACAAGTCGCACAGGCACTAAGTGACGCGGCCCTTCGCAACAATAGGCCCCCACCGCCTCCATCAAACGCAAACTCGGACGTCGCCCGACAAGTCTCAAATCACCGACCACCCACGTTTTCGGGAGAAGAGGATCCCGCGGTCCTAGAAGAATGGATCCGGATGCTTGATAAGATTTTTGGAGTAGTGGAATGCCCAGAGGAACGCCGCGTAGAGATAGCCTCGTTCTACTTCGGGCACGAGGCCGATCTCTGGTGGATCCACGAGGGACCCACCTATCAGCAAGAACCGGGGTTCAATTGGGAGAACCTCAAGACACGACTACGAGAGAGGTTCTATCCAACCCACGTAAAAGCATCCATGTACGAAGAGTTCCTTCATCTAAAACAAGGAACGGCCACCGTCATAGAATACCATAGACGATTCCTCGAACTGGCGCGCTTCGCACCAGAGCTAGTCCCCACCGAGGTAACCAAGATAGAGAGGTTCGTGTCAGGCCTCAACTTCGAAGCTCGGAAAGCGCTAGTGGTAAGCAGACCCCGGACCCTCAACGAGGCTTATTCCAGTGCCGCGAACCTCTATCGAATCCAACTACTCCAACGCGGGGTTCAGGAACAAATACGAAGAAGAAACACCGGAAGTGGGGCACCGCCAGTGAAAAGAACGAGGAACGACACCGGCACGAGGCCGAACAACCTCACCAACCCAAGGCCACCCCTGGGAAACAATGAAGCTAATCCAAGAAGCTTCCCTTGCCCGAGGTGTAACAAAAGCCACAGAGGCAAGGATTGCGCGAGTAACCCCTGGCGATGCTTCAACTGCGGAGAGGAGGGGCACAAGGCCTTCCAGTGCACTCGACCCCAAAGACCACGCCCCGCCACCGTGGGTCAACACGGGGGCACCAGTCACCAAGGGGGTTACGGCGCTCCCGGAAAAGTATTCGTTATGAGTCACACGCAAGACAAACTCGGAAACGAAGAAGACCTAGAAGGGGAAAACCCAATCCCGGAACACGAGGACCATACGGATCCCACCGAGGAAAACCCAGAAAACGAATTTTGTCTAGGATAAACCATCACACCCCTTGTAACCACCCCTTGTATCGTATGGACCACCTATTTAGCTTAAATACTTCGAAAACATTATATCTATTTAGCTTAGCTACTTCGAAAGTATTATGAATAAGGATCTTTGGTCAAACTTCAATTTCCACTACGAAGATAAAGCACAAGTTATATCATCAACCCAACCCTTCCCCCACTAAAGGACAAAATAAGGAAAAAGACAAAGGAGGACCACACCACCAAGAAATGCCTAATGTCACCATTAGGAATTGAACTCTAGACCTCACATTTACAAGCCCAAGTCCCAACCACTAAGCCATGAGTGTTTCTTGAAACCTTAAGGGGATAACCCCTTGTTAAATCTCTCTAAGTCCCTAAAACCCACAAAACCCCCAAATCAAAAACCCTTCTTCTTCTTCCTCCCCTTCTTCTTCCCCACTCTTTCCCTTCCCCACCTCACACACCTCGCCGCCCCACCCCAGCAGAACCGACGACCACGCACCACCGTCGCCGGCCGAACGCTACCGCTAAGCGCCACACCGCCGCGCCGCCATCCCAGCCGACCTCGCCCACCGCCCGGAGAGCACCCAGCGGCGACCCGCTGCCTCCCTACCCGAGCGACGCCGCCCG